CTTGTCAACAGACTGCAGTGCCTGAGTGATGCAGATGCCGTGGACGTCTGGGAACATACCTTCATCATTATTCAGACCGAGTTATTGAGTGGGTTGGCTAATGGGCACTTGAGATAAAGTATTACCAAGAATAAGAGAGAGGGAAATTTAATTCCCCTCCAGGACCTGCAAAATAAGCTTGTTGATTGACAGAGTCTCCTCTCAAGGAGGGAGGGGAGAGAGTAATGCCATGTTTCTCAGAGGCTCAGAAATGGGGCTGCATTTTCAATGGCTCAGACCTCCACTCGGAAGGGATGCAAATAAGGGCTGGTAAAGCAAGGAGTGTTTGCCTTGATCTGGGTCACTGACCCAGGACTAATTAAAAACTTAAAAATCTATACATTTTATATGAAACCTCATGTTATCTATAGCCGTTCCCTAATTAATCAATCACTTTCCCTTACTTGTATCATCTACTGATTATTCAAAATAAAATGTGCTCTTCAACCCCAATCCCCCTAGTTAGCACTTCATGCAGTATAAGAAATTTTAAATTTTGATGTTTTTTTGTCCTTTTAACTCTTTGTTTCTGTGTGTGTGTGTGTCTGTGTATTTGTGTATAAGATTTATATGTGAGAGAGGCTGTATTTTCCTTATGTGTATGTGCGTGGAAGCCAGAGATCAACATCATATGTCACTCATGATGTTCACCATTCACCTTGTTTTTCATTTGCCCCAGGGAGCTGCTAGTCTGCCGCTTGCCAGCACTGGGCTTACACACATGCCCTCCAAAGCGACTCTTTTAAAACATGGATTCTAGAGGTCCTAATGCAGCCCCTCGCACTTTCGTGACAGACTTCCGACTGAGCCTTCTCCCCAGTCCTATTGTTTTAACTCCTTTGAAAGTTGAGCTCTCTAAAATCATAAAAGATGTTATTTTCTTATGCCCATATTTAAAATGACTTGAATGTTGTATCTCTTTGCATGTGTTTTGTAGGACATGAGCGTTCTTGCACAAGGAGCAAGGAATGTTTCCTTTAAAACTTTTATAAACATGTGTGTTCATGTGTCTATAAATCTACAGATTGAGATATACCACTCTCTCTCTCTCTCTCTCTCTCTCTCTCTCCCCCCTCCCTCGTGTGTGTGTGTGTGTCTGTGTGTGTGAGTCTGTGTGTGTGTGTGTGTGCATGTGCATGTGTGTGTGTCTATGTGTGTAAATAATGACAACTTTGACATCTGGCAGTAATGTACTACTCCAATAAAAATCAAGATTTGAAAGCAATTTCTATGGGGAAGGATGTTTGTTGTTGTGTAAGTGACAGTACTACCTGTGAGTAAGCAATGTCTAGACTATGACTTGAACATGGCACTATATGCAAACAAAGGAAGAATAAATGTGGGTAATCTTACTGGAATCAAACGACGTGCTTTTGTACTACTTTTCTACTCTCTTCAGAAACAGCTTTCAAGTAAATAGTTCCCACATAGTACAAGTTTAGGAACCTTTGCTGCATACTTCTCATGTTGCTGGGACAAAAGACAAAATACCTGGCAACAGTATTTCCTGCTAGTCAGGAAGGAAGGGTTTACTGCGGCCCACAGGTCCAGTGTTCCATCCGTCATAAAGAAGACATGGCAACAGGTACACGAGGCAGCTGTTCACACATGACATCTGTACTCAGGCGAGAGAGAAAGGGGGAGGGGAGAATGCTGATATTCCCCTAGTTTTATCCTTTCTTTGTACCCTTTCTTTCTGGGACCCCACCCCATGAAACTATGCCAGTCACATTCAGTGATTCAGTGTGAGTCTTCCCACCTCCTCAGCTCATCTGATCTAGATCGTTTCTCAGAGGTATGCCCAGGGGCTCATTTCCTAGGTGACGCTAAAACCTATCCAGTGGACCATCAGTATTGTAGAAACTAAGCAAGTCGTCCAAACATCATCATTTATATGGATGATTATCTAAAAGGAGAGTTTTGACAATGAAAAGAAACAACCGACCTGAGGATTAGGATAGGGGGCTTCAGAGGGTCGCTCTAGTTTGTACACAAGGAGGGACCCAATAAGATCCAAACACTGGCAGACTGGTTTTGGATCCAAGAGCTTTAAACACAAGTTATTCTTAGTAGTTATTTCCTTTCTCAAATAACCAAAAAGAATTGAGGGAATAGGATGCTCAAAAGGCATTTTGTGTGCAAGTAGCCCAATGCAGGTCACACAGCCACATGCAAACAGCTAATTAACCAAGACTAGTGTCTTGCTGGGAGAATGGATTCTAAAGTCAGCAAGTAATGTGAAAATTGAGTAGCGTCAGACTGTACTTTAAAAGCCTCACAAGGACCAATGCCACAAGAAACTCCAGGGGGCCCATTCCAGCTGGGGGAACAACATCTCTCTCCCTCTCCCTCTACATTTGGAAGCTCTGCAGTTGGGTTCTGGTGAGCTTAAATGAGTACAGTGTGCTGTGTCATTGAGGCCTTTCAAATACAACAAAATCGGTGCTCGGGAAGCATGGAGAAAAAAATGACAAAGAAAACTGAGATGAAAATAAGTAGTTGAGAGAGAGAGAGAGAGAGAGAGAGAGAGTAGAGGAACTGTATTTGAAGTGATCCATGAAGGATGGCGTCATAATGGTGGTGATGGGTATAGGACAGGCTTGAGACACATCAATCTGAAGTGACAATAAGAGAACAGGCACCAAGATTCTGAAAATGTCTATGCCTTGGGTATCAGATCCACAGAAGGATGTCGTTAAAGGCATCTCAGATGTCAGCTCGATGGGTCGGATCCTCATTCTCAAATCAGTGCTTGGTAGCCTTCCTTGGGAGTCAGAGTAAAATACTCCACCCAGCATGAGGGCACAGCTTGGCAAGAGGCAATGGCTTCAGCTGAGAAACTGTTCCTCAGGCCAGGGCATGGATTTCATGTTGGGATGTGGACTTTTGATGCTCATGCATGTCCTTTGGACTTGGGAATTGCAGGGTAGGGAGTTCAGCGAGGCAAGAGGCAGTGGTGAAATTATTGTCTGTGTGCAATCATTTATAATTTTAAAAGTTATGTCCTTGCCCATACTTTATCTGTTCAGTGTCCAGACTAAGAGTTATCTGCTGATGGTGGCCTACGAGCACAGGGGTACTGGAAGCAGTTCCAGCCTCAGACATAGGCCATACACAGTTGTTGCTAGCATGCCACAGGTTTTGCAAACTGGTACATGTTTTAACAGTTTTTTTCACAAAAATTTTTCTGCTCAGGGAAAAAAAAAAAAAACGTTGAGACTCGAGACCTGAATAACATTCAGGAGAAACTCCAACTGTTTAAAGATTAGTGGCATGGGAGTGGAAAAGAAAACTTGACTTTTAACATCAAGTGAAGTACTAAAATTATCAAAAGTAGTTGTCACCTATAATTGTCAATGTTTAATACCTAACAACCAAGCATCCTAAGACACTGCCCCATAAAGTTTGAATAATGGAAGAAACTGCTGAAGTCAACATTGCCAAAGCATGTTCTACATGCAAGACAATATGTTGCCGTATAATGTGTGTTTTCAATGCCAGTTCACCTGACCTCAAATCTGAACTCTGATGTGTTTTTGCCACCTAATTCAACACAAAATCCTGAGCATCTCCAAGTGTCAGGTCTCTTGGAAAAGAAGAAGTATGCTTTCATCAATACCTCTTTCAATAGGCGCACATGTGAAGATCTCCGAGTCATTTAAATCAACCCAAATCTGAACACTAGGAAACCCTACAACCATTGTGAAACCTGTACAAAGAATGCACCACCTGCACAAAGGAAAATTATATGAAAACCAATGGTTTTAAGAACAAACACTCAGATGTAGTCATGGAAACATCTTTATAGTCAACTAATTTCTCAGTCTCCTCTATGATGCTTCCTTCCCAGCGATGCCTACTTCCTGTCTTCAGCCAGTTTCCCACATCCGTAAGCAGACACATGATCCCCTACCAAGTCTTCTCAGATTACACCTCTTGCTGAACCAAAGCCATTTCAGCACAATGCCGTGTCCATATCCTGCTCACACTGTTGATGTTGCTTCCCTTTTCTGTATGCAGTAGCCCCTCACCAGCCTGTCTTGCATTGGCCCAGTAACCCCTCAAGATTTTATTTTCCTTTCTGTCACATCATTTTTATGACTCCCAGAGACACCTTCTCTATAATAGCACTGTTCGGATCAAAGAGAATGTGCAACCAGCCTGTAATAGGTGCTGGACAAATGGTAAGGATTAGGGTCAAATTCCAAATCTTGATAACCATGACAAACCTACTTACAAAGGTCACACTCCTTCCTTTGACTCTGGTTTCTTTGCTCATAAGTTACACAAAACTACTTTGGAGAACTGTTGTGGGGATTAAGTAATAAGATATAGGATATATGCACACTATACCCTCATTATGAGAGACTTTAACATCACTCAATAACTTTTATTTTTAGACCATAGAAAAGAAAGCTGGTAGAATTCTAGAAGGTGTAAACACAAAATAAAAACTAGTGGTAATATAGGCTTTGAAAGCAAATTGAGATAAAGCCACAACTCTCTCCGCTCTGTAACATTAGACATGTTATTCAACTTCTCTGTGGTTCAAAATTCTCATCTATAAAAGATAAATAGACAGTATCTACCTCACATCAGTGAGGAACAAACATTAAAATAAAAAATACATTAAAATATGCACATCGTAAGGCCCAGAACACTTATCAAGTGCTCAGTAAATGCCAGACATGATTAATTTGCTGAGACCCCTTTAGACCCCAGATGGTAGCAAAGCCAATCAGCATTGGGAATGTTCCCTAGAGAGAAAACGTCACCTGTGCTCTTCACAATTGCTGTTGATAAAATCATTGATGGTTTTGATATTTGGGGTTCATCTAATTTCAAAGCATGGGCCCCATTCATTCCTGTGTAAAGTTCCTAGGGAAAAATCAACAAAGCCCCACAAATGCAGATGGTTTAAAACAACAAATTTTTATTCTCAAAATTCTGGAGGTACAACATCCAAAATCAAGAGGTCAGCAAGGACACAATCACTCTCGAGTACCTGGGGAAGACTGGGTTAGTGTTGACTTTGCGTTTCTTGGTTTACAAGAGTCTTTTCCTGTCTCCGCCTCTGACTTCCCAAGGCATTTTCTCCATGTCTTTACATGATTGTTATCTTCCCACGTACCCTTGATTGAGCCTTCTCTCTTAATGACACCACCAGCCATTGAATCATATCTAACCATAATGACGCAGGACTCTGTTTTCAAATGAGATCATATTTTGGGTGCTGGGGGAGGACATAATTCCAACTACAACCCTCCGGTACTAGGGCATAAATCTTATCATTTTCCATGGGAACTGCTCTAGCAACCATAGTGTCCACTCATCATGGTCAACTGGATTGGAAATCACCGAGCAACCAATCTTTGGGTGTGTCTGCGATGGAGTTTGAAACATGGGCAGCATCAATCCATGGGTTGAAGTCCTAGGCTGAGTAAAAGGGAGAAATTGAGCTGAGCACCAGCGTTCCTTGCTGTGTGTGTTCCATGTGCAATTACAGTGTAAGCAGCTGCCTCAAGGCTACCCCCACACCTTCCCTTCTTCAGGGTAGACAATAGCCCTTCTTAAACCATGAAATAGAGCAAACCCTTCTTTAAATAGTTCTTGTCAGCTCTACAATCACAACAAGGAAAGGAACTAATAAAATTACCTTTCCATGAAAGCACCTATGTGCCCCGTGGAACTGAGAACTAGCCCTTCTCCGGGAACAGGCATAAAGAGGCTCAGGCTTTGGAACCCTACTCTGCTCACCCAAAGCTGCTTTTTTTTCTGTTAAAAAAATGAAAAAATAGATTTAAAAATTCCAGCAGAAGAAGATCAAGTGTTGATGGAAAGATGACCTAAACTGTGTGTGTGTGTGTGTGTGTGTGTGTGTGTGTGTGTGTGTGTGTGATATGCGCTCATTATTCACTCAAACACCTGTGCCCATATGCACATTCTATATGCCTCTGTGTCCTGGGAAACAAATGGAAATGGCCTGAAATCAAGCAAAACAGATGGCTGAGTAGGCCTTGTGAATCTCATCTATTACACGAAGCTTAGAAGTCATTGCTTCTCACGAAAGAGTTGTAAGTTCCTTTCTAAATTTACAGACTGCCCTGAAGACCTCCAGGAAGCTTAAAATATTCATTTTGGGGATCACTGAAGGTTAAAACTCTGAAGAAGTCTCAAAATCCAAATGAAACAGTACAAAAGCTGAAGTCCAGGACTCTCCCTAACAAACCCGAAGCTTGCTGGTTTCCTAATGTCACTCGAAGCTGATGTGCTGTACACTGCGCTCTGGGTATGTCTCTGAATAAGTGTGAAAATGTTGAAAAAGATTCGGTACTTACTAGCACGCACTACCCTTAAAGGAAAGTTTCGGTAGGCAAAACGGTGGCTCCTTTGTAAGCTTTCCTTGTGTGTAAATGCAAACAATTGTTATTCTTGGCACAGAAAACTGTCCTGTGTGTGTTGGGCAGAGCTGTGGTACACAGTCACAGTGGCAGGACCAGCCTCATCAAGCCTCCCTCACCTCCTCCCATCCAGCCCCATATCCTACACACAAACACCAGCGAACTTTTCCTGGCAAGCTCTTTTGCAAGGGCTTCCAACAGACAAGATAGGACTTTTCGAAGCTTACCCCTAAGCCTTGCCCACTCAGCCAGATACTTCATTCCCGAGATATTATTGGATGGGGGTTGGAATCCCTATCCACCCTTGATGGTCCAGCTTGTCCCCGCTCCTGAAGGTTCTCAAGAACACTAGCAGCATCCCAAACCGTGCCCGTCACTCACAAAGATGTTTCTAGTCTGTAAATACCTGTGGGATTTACTATTTTCATACTAATATTCAATTGTTCCTCCAAGAATAGTTTTACCTACCCAGGGCATATGCAAAGCCTGTGTTCCTGGTGATGTGAGCATCCCCAGATGCTAGCACTGCATCATAGACCACAGGAAATAAGGACAAGACCGGATTTCCCCCTCAAGTGTCATCCCCTGAAGGAAAATGAGAGACTCAAGTGCCTGCAAAAGGAAGATGGTTATAGAAATGAAGATACAAACAACAAATCATCACGGGAGACAGGTAACTTACTAAAGGTGGTTTTTGGAATCACCCATAGAAAGGGTAGAATTGTCTATTGTTGCTATAAGAAATCTTTCAACGAAAGCAACTTGGGAAAGGAAGGAAGTAATTCTTTGGCTCATAGTTCGATAGTACCATCCACCACAGTGGGGAAGGCATAGTCATAGGAACTAGAGGCAGCTGGCCACAGTGTGCCACAGTCAGGAAGAAGGAGGGGTTAATTTAGAGCTCTGCCCTGCTTCTCTCTTTACTATTTAGTCAAGAATCTCACTGGTTGCCTCATCAGTCTTACTATGAGGGTAAGTGCCCAGTCTTATGGTAGCTTTTTATTCCATAGTCCATTGATGTCCCTGGGCTGTCTGCTCTTTTGGGATGCAGATGAGGAGTGGACCTAGGGAGAGAGAGGTGGGGGGAGGAAGGGGAAACTGTGGTTGGGATGTAATGGATAAAAAAGGAATAAAAGGGGGGAAAAAAGAATCTCAGACCATGGTATGGTGCTAGCAATACGGAGGCCGGATCTTCTTTCCTCAGTTTACTGTTCTAGGATCAACTTTACAGGTACACCAGAGGTTTTTCTCCTACTTCATTCCAAATTTAGTCAAGTTCACATTAACTATCAGAAAAAAAATTAGAATTTCAATAGGCAGAGTTTCACATGTCGACATACATCTAAAGTAGTAGAACTCTGGAAGCTGAGGCACTGTGAGTGTGAGACAAAATGGCCTTCACAGAAATTCCTTGTTCCCAAGCTCTAAGGAAAGAAAAGAAGGGAGGGAAGGAGGGAGAGAAAGATAAATGTCTTTCAGCCTTCAGAAATCTTTTGGAGAAGCAGTGACCAAGCTGAGCCCCTGACCTATGGGTGAACACTGCTTTCTTAATGGGCACCAAGCCCTGAGCAGTAGCAAGCAGAGGAGGGTGACGGTGGTGCTCTTTAGGACGGTCACTGTTGTAAGGAACGCCCAGCCCAGCAAGGGCTGTACAGAGAGCTGCACTAACCCTAATCCCCTACACTCTGTACTTGGTGAATTAGAAGGGAACCAAGAGGAGATTTCAGTTTTGGTTGGTAACATTGAGCGGGAACTATGCTGTGCCTTAAATCCTGCGTTGGTGAAAATCAAAGGTTACATTAACCCAAGAGCTCGCATGGCTATTCCACAAAGCCACAGATCACCTGGAAGAGGCTGGACTTTCCATCAAATGTTAATGAATCTCACCTGAATTTTTCTCTTTTATTTGAAAAAAAAAAAACTTTAAAATTTTTAAAGTAAGATTTCAGTTGTCTGCATCTGCCAGAAAGTCAGATCAGCCATGGCTAAGCAGGTCCGACTGCTTCAGCTCACACAAAGCGTAAGAACTGATTTCTCACCCTGTATGACAGTGGCTTATTTCTAGAAGGCTTTGATATATGCAGCTGAAATTCCTTCCCCACAAAGACAAGCATGTTGTCTTCATATGTCATCTTCCGTTACGATATTCACCATGTTCAGGTGAAGAAAGAGAGAGGAAGAAAGAGAAAAGGATTAAAAATGTCTGATTTTCATGCATCATTTTTAATCTCATAAAGAAGAGCTGGAGTAAGTGCTTGGGTTTATGGTAAGCACTCAGATTTTTCACAGACATATTTATATTTATAAAAAGTGCTATGATTAATCCTTCCCACTTTTCATTTCAGAGGAAGCACCTACAAAACCCCACACCTTCCTGAGGAGCCTATGACTGTTAATGGTTGCTGATAAAGGGATGTCATTTCCTCAGTATAGCCACTGGGAGATCATGTGAAATAAAAAAGGGGTTCAGGGAGTGAGTGTAATCACGAAGTATGTATAAAACTGAGAAATTCTCTTATCAAATGGAAAGAAATCGTAAATGGGTCATGATGTGCATTTTCTGACGTGTCAGCAGTATTGGCTGGTGGGTCTTGCTCTCTATTTGGCTTAGTCTCTTGCCAAGTGTGTATCCAGGAGACTCGGGGCCCCTCCAATGCTTGCAGCCCTGCTGAACGTTGCTATATGCGACCCAAATCCTTACTTACTATTGTTGCTTTTCAGACAATAAGCCCTACGGATGCCTAGTCACCAAGGCACGCACTCTAATTGCCGAGATATAAGCTGGAGTTGATCTGCACGTCCTTTCTTCTTTTTTCAATGCTTTAGCCACATTTTCTTTCAGCTGCCAAGGAACAGATGTTGAGTTCCTAATAAGAAAAAAAAAAGCGTGAATCCCAGAGGAATATGGTACCTCTTGCCTCTAAAAGCAATATGAGAACAAAGTTTCTAATATTTGACTAAATTCTGTCCAGGAAATGAAATCCTGTCTGTACACTTGCCAATGTTTTAGTCTAAAATAAACTAACACGACCCATTGCAGTATCCATACTCCCGGTTGCAATGATGAACTGTGCTCCATCCCAGCCCCTGGGTCTCTCCTGTGATTACTTTGCCAAGCTTTAAGCCCGAGCTTACTACTACCGATACATAGAGCAGGGAGGCCCAGAAAAGCACATAACCACCCCTAAATCATAAGATGAATTCTCGGCTCATGCAATGCCATAGAAAAATAAAGTTTAAAATGCAATCAGGTGCTTTGATAGAAAACCTCAGTTCTTTGATTACTTCTGCAGAGGAATATGCATTAATGTCAAATCATCACTTGATGTAAAAGCCCAGGTTTTTTGATAAAAAAAATAGCTTTTAAAGAACATTAAAATCAGATAGACAAGCAGTTAAATGCCTTTGTGCTTTGTAACTCTGGTCCCCTGGTGTGTCTTCTGATGTATACGGGAATAATTGAGAACCACATTTTAAAATTGACTGAAAATTGCCTAGAATTATGGATATTAGATCAGTTCAAGACAGTGATGTCTAAGGTGGGGTTAGCAGTCAAAAAAAATCCATGTTTAGAACCCTTTAAAGCTGATATACATTGTCTTCCTCTAAGAATCCTTGAAGCTTACTGTATCTTGCATCTATTTTGGAATAACCTGGAGAGCATCTTCAAACATGACCACAGATCTCCACCTCAAGTTCTGAATCAGAAAGTCTTGGATAGGGCCTGAGGCTTTGCACTTCCAATAAATCCACAAGAGCTTCTCTCCTTGCTTTGACACCCTGACCTGTGGACCCTCTGACTGCTAAACATGCACTGACCTAGGACTGAGCAAGCAGGACCCATCAGGAGGAAGCCCATGTGTTGCTATCAGAGAAACATAACCACTCGGCAACTTAAAAAAAAACAGGATTCATGAATCTCTTACCACCCCAGACAGCACAGTTCAGAATCCTCATTCAGGAACAGGAACTTTCATTTTGTGGCTCCCTCATTCCTTAGGATTTGATTTTCAAAGAGTTGGCACTGGGATTCTGGCCCACGCAGGCTCCATCCAGGGAGGAAGGAGTTTAGGCACAGCAGTCGTACAAGCCTGGGAGTACAAGGTGTCATTTCCTTTTCCTTTCCAGTGGCCATGGCCTGAGCAGAGTAACTGCCGAACTGTCCTTCTCTGCTCTGGAATATGATGTGGAGAAATAGATTTGATGGACATTATTCAGTTCTTGCAAAAAAAAAAAAAAAGGACTTGCCTTATGAATCTTCTTCTCCCTGCCTTCCACACAAACTGAATCTGAACCACCTTGGGTTTTACATACATAGCTCATGTCTTACTGGGTAGACGCAGAAGCTCAGCTTCTCACACAGGAAAGACTCCACATATACGATTAATCAAAGCACCCAGAGTAAAGTCATTAACTACCCATACTGTTTAATTCTTCAAAGTATACCAAGAATAACTGCCTCATTAATCGTAAAAATGTGCTATAAAAATATAATTATGAAAAAATACCTTATGGTTTTGATTATATCACACATGATTGCTACATCACCACCATTTGGTCATCCCATCAAACCTAAAGCTAAAGATTATTTTAGCCTGTGTTTCAAGTAAGGAAAGAAAATGATAAAACAAAAAAAAGATTAAGTAACGATCACACTCTCAGTAATTGGTAGAACAGAATTCTGTGCACACATGCATGTGACTACAAGTCTTTGTTCATACTATGGTCTTCAAAGACAAACACAAGCTTATAGCGAATGTGTGGAAGGAGTCGCCCTCAGATGTTAGGCAGCTGTGTACACACTAATGTCAGCTTCACACTGCTGCCCCAGAGACAGTGACCTGGGCCCTTACATGAGAGCGAGCTGGAGGCCAACCTAGCTGGAAGCTGAAATTGTCTGGGGAAATTGTCTAGCCTGAGTCAATGTCTAGACACACCCTAGATAACCAATCAATCACCTGTGGATTCACTACAGAAATTTTTATCAGCTATTGATCTAGAAAGCAGGCCGAGGATGAAGGCCTTGAAAATCACATTCTATAGGGAAGCTTTACACTGTCATCATCTTAAACATGTGTAACTATTAAAGGTCACCTACATTTGCATAACACCTAAACTGTTTTCAAAACACATTCCCGCAATTTAGATAACTTTTGTTTCAACGGTTGAGACTCTACAACCTGGCACCACCTCTTACATGAACCTTTTCAGATATTCTTTTAATGCAACATCTAATGAAAATGCCTTGGATTGACACCAAGCTGGGCCTTACTCCACTTTCCCCAGGGTGACAGATATCGCAATTGTGCCCAAACATTGCAAAGGTGCCCCGAGGCGCTCTGTCATCTTCTGGCCTCCCCACAACTACAGTGTGAATCATATTTGAATTTTCATATCTAAATCCGCTGTTCTCAAAGAAAATATTTCTTCTCCTGGGAAGAAAAAAAGATGAAATATAAATCCCGAAGCTTACATAAATTTTAATGTATGGCCATCAGGAGCCTTGATTGAGTGTTTTCAAACATCCATACCCCTCTCCTTCCCCTGTAATGGAAACCCTGTAGATGAACCTATTATATAAGGACTCAAAGCCTGTACTAAAGCTAAAAGCAGTTCTGTGACTAAGTTCTGTCTGATGAAAAAGGGATGGAAGCCTCTTGTGAGACCCCTGGGAGGTCATCCTAAAAGGGGGAAAGCATGTCTTTTTACATCTCTTTTCTTCTTTCTGATGCCTGAACAGAAGGTACTGAATCTGGGCCTCCAACAGCTGAAAAAAAAAGATAAATGCTACATTCTGAGGTCAACCAATGAAGGAGGGCAGATGATTCCGGACCAACAATGAGCCCAGTCCTGCCGTTAACTGTCAGTGTTTCCCCTTCATTCCTGCTTTAACACACAGTAGGTCTGGTTGGGTCTATCCTTTGTGGTGGAATCTAATCCCAAATAATATCAGAACACTCAAGAGCCACAAAGTGACGAGAAAACCATTCCAGAAAATATTTGGACATGAAAAGTCAGGGCTGAAAGTTGATATTTTGTGATTAACCTGAACGCAATGTCTTTCTTGATTGCTCTTTCTTTACGTCTCAATGAGGGAGGGAAACAGGAAAATATACAACTCTCATGGAGAGAAACGTGTGAGTTTGGAATCACCTAGTGTATGAGAAAAAAAACAGTTGCTAGGTGAGTGTTGTCTGAAGCCTGCCCTGCTGAGGTGCATTTGCTCCTTCCTGAGAACGCAGAGAGGAGTGAGGCTTTGGAAGCTGACTTTCTTAATAAACGTGGTGAAGTATTTTTAAACGGTGAACACTGGGTAAACAAGACAGAGGGTAAAAAACCTTTTTGTTATGTGAAACAAAATAATTTTCCTCTGAAAGTCTCTGAATTATCCAGAGGTGGGCCAGGACCCCCAAGGCCAGGTGCACAGAGGCGTCTCTGCAACTCTAGGAGCCACTGCGGAACTCCTTTTGAGTTTGCGACACCTGCAGAGAGAGACTCAGCTGCTAGGAAGAGGGGCTCAGACTCTGATCGAGTCTTTGACAAGGGGAGACCCAAGTTTAATTTGGTGACAGTCTTATATCACACATAGCCAATGCGCTGCTGTGGGCACAGAAAAGGGAACAGACCCCACCGTATTGGACAGCAGAGAGAGTGTCAGGCCAGGAATGGGTTAAGAACACAGACAGCCTCCCTCCCATGTCAGGGGCATTCCTTCCTGGCCCAGATCCACTGGTCATGGTTGAAGTATGCTTGTCCTCCCCGCTCCCCTTCTGCTATAACTTCCTAAGGACTCTTACCAACTCAGACTCTTAACCTGGCTCTCAAAATACAGCAAAATTCTTCAACTGAACGCACCCAGAGAAATCTGTCATTATTAATGGTTTAGAGGCAGGACTAAAGCTGGTCCTATTAGATAGCAAAAGAAGCCGTGTAGAAGGCTAAAGGCCAAGGCTCTGTGAAGTCAAAGATCCTGATGGGAATAGTTGAACTGAGTGCCAGACGCCGACCTGTGAATACTGGCTTGAACTCACCTCTCCTTCGCTTTCTCATTAATTCCAGTTATTCCGTTGCCAGCTGTGACCTGCGGAGGTTGGGATGCCACCCACATTCGACAGAAACACCCCTAATGATGAGGCGCCTGAGCTGGAATCAACCCTTCCATCAGCCCCTAATCTACCCGCAGCCTCACCCTTCACTCAGACCCCCAGAGGTGGAAAGGGACACGTGACCACAGCCATCACCCACGGTTAGGAACATGCCTCGTACCTTAGCAAGGAGGCATTTGCTCATTGGAAGCCTATGACACTTTTCCTGGTCTTCCCATGCTTACAGTGCGGGAGCAGGGCAAAGCACAGACACCCTAGCACATTTCTAGCCAAACCACTGTTGTCTCCCATCAGGCGATGCAAAGCGTCTTTGCTGGAATGTAATTATTATTATTTGCTTTCTTAAAAGACCAGTTCAGAAATCTGGAATAATAATTCACCTCACAAGAAATTTTCTCATTATGTATTTATTCCATCCCCTCTGCTCTTTCAGAACCTTATATTTGTAGCTAGGCATGCAATAATCTCCCCGAGTTTCTGGAGCAAGCCTTTTTCTACTAGTGTGATTGCACACAGCAACTCTTTATTCAAGAAGGAAAAAGGTTATTAAAGCCGGTGAAGGTCTTTCTACATTAAAATAAAGAGATAGAGCTGTGGCTGCCGCCCGAAGGCGAGGTAGAAGGTGTGTGGGGGGTGCCAAGCTCTCACTTGACCCGTCCGGTCCAGCACATAGCCAGAAATAAATCTAAAAGTCAATTTGTTAATAATCTTATTTGCAACGTGTTTGCTTATTTTTTTAATATCTGTTTATTGTGGTTTTGGTGTCCGGGCTTGTTTTCTAAATGGAATTCAGGGAAGTTATTAAAACCTGGTGCTGTTATGTTCTAAGGCATTCATCTGTCACCTCAACTCCCGAGCAGAGGCTTCAAAGAGCTTCAGAGGCCAAGCTGAGGAGGAGGTCCAACATGGGAATCTTTATGTTCCCAGCCCCTGGCTATGGCTCCCTGAGCATCTTCTGGTAGATGGAACCGGAACCGGTGTTGACAGTATTATAAAAGAGACCCGAAATTTTGATCCTTCTGTCTGTCACTTCCCCTTCTCTTACGCCACAAATCTCAACAATTCTTTCTCTTAATAAAATGTATCCAGCTACACTGAAATCCAGATATTTCACTGATTCTTTACATCATCCTTTTTCTGATGCATAATTTGCCCCCAAAGCATCCCTACTGCCTGCAAGACTGCAAGAAACAGAATTAGCAGCCAGCTCTGAGCACAGCACGCCACAGACATCACGAGGAAATACAACAGAAAAGCCATATTAAGCCATCTTACTGGGAGTTATCAGGAAACAAAATGAACTAATTATTATTTCCTTTCTTTGCCTAGTGATTTGCAATTCCTAGGTGACACCTGAATAATACTAACGGGGTTCAAGGCGACCCTTTAGACAGTGACCTTTGCTCTCCCCATTTCATTTGCCCTGAGTGTTAATTGACTTTGAAAAAAGCACTGTATTATCTTTTTAGAAAAAAAGAGAAAAGGGTAGACCTGACTTGTGAGCGCCAACATCCTACAGCATCAAAGCGTTGTTTAAATCCTCGCACAGCAGAGCTGAGCGCTGTCCGGGAGAGTGTGAGATTTAAAAGGTGAAAGAAAGCGGCAGAGAGCCATAGTTTGAAAGAGCAGCAGTGCCATCTAGAGGCCATAACAGGAACAGCCAGATTCCGTCCTGACGCCGTGCCAGCAGGGATGTCATCTTGACCCAGCCTTGCCTGCGGTTCTCACCCACTAGATGCAGAAGTCACTTTATTCTTTATTCTAGCAGGGCCGAGTTGATGGGGACACTTGGGCGTGAAAGTTCAGGAAAAGCAATCCTCTGCTTCCCCCAGCCACTGTCGGGCAGGAAGGTGCCAGGACAGGGCTAATTGTGTAAAGTGGCTTTTCTTTGATTCAGGTCCACATAGGGAGTTCTCGTTAGCTGCCTGGCACAGAGTCGCAGTCTCCAGATCCCTCTGAGCTTTTTGATGTCCTGCTGTGCTTCGTGTCTTGTCCCACCACATCAAAGCATTCCCTTCTTAAGTGAAACCATGAGGATACTTAATATACTAAATCAAACCATTGTAGA